AATGCACCATTTTCCTCCAAGACACCTCTGTGACAAGGAGCGGGATCTTTCCATGCCAGCTGGCTCCAGGCGAACTCTGCAGAAGAAGGCCTTTGCTGCCAACCAGGTCAGGAAGCCAGTGCTGCCAGGGCATGGGGAGACACAGCACAAGCGGGAGTGCCCAGGGGAAACTGAAGTACTTTGTTAATTCTCAGGGGAAGGTGAGTCGAGTACAAAGCAAGCTGAAGCCAGTCCTGGTTTGGCTGCTGCTCAGATGTGCTGAAGGATGCTGGGCCAAGTTCCAGCAGTGTTGACTGTGTCTTTAGTTACTTCTGACAGCAGTGTAAAAGCTAGCTGAGATACGCTGTCTCATAGGGCATCATCTCATCACTCAGATGAGACTATCCACAACTTTTGAATCCTGTCCCAAATATAAGGAGCATAAGTTTCTAAGGTGAAAAGGGGAAAGTTGTAACAAGTCATTTATAAAAAATATTTTTCCCCTGGGGAGTGGTAACCTTGCTCCACAAGTTATGGAGAATTTGAAAAGAAACATAATCAAATTTCAGGGGCTAACGAGTTAACAGTTTTGGCAGCAGGTATTCTTGTTGCAACTGGCTGTCCTTGCGCAAACCACTTTAAGGAGAATATATTGGTGGAAAGCCATAAAGGCTATTTACATAGATGGAGTTTCATCATCTCCCACTCCAAAACCGGCTGGGTTGGTTATGCTGATCTAATGTTTTCTTTATCAGTGAGGCTAGAAGCACATATTAGGTTGTGTTTTAGTTTGCTCTTTTAATACGCTGATGGTAGTCCTTTGAGATACAGGTTTAAATTATGCAGCATGTGCAATATTATAAAAACAGTTTCAAAAATCTAATATTCCAACAAAACCAAAATATTGCTTTGTACAATGAACTTTGTTATGCCCCAACTTAGCAAGAACAATTTTCTGCAGGAAATAGCCCCCAACCTTTTTTAGGAATATACCTTGCAAGATATTCTGAGATCTTCAGTTTTCCTTTCCAACAAGTGGATGAGAACAACTTTCAGGTTTGCTCCCAGAAGCTGATTTTTCCCTGTCTTTGAGAGCCATTCTCGGTCCTCTCCTGCTATGAAAAAAGGGGTTTGGCATTAGGTTAGTTCAGTAGTTTGAATTCACTGTTCTGTTCAGGATAGAAACTAAGATATTTTTTAAAAAGTTAGCCTAAGTCTTAAAGAATGTCTACAACACCTTTTCAGTTTTGTTTGGCAAACAATTTCAAATTCAAAGGTGCATCGTTTTCTTCATTAAAACAGACCAACTCTTGCAACATGGCCTGCATCTGAACTGAAATCAAGTACCCGTCTTTTACTGATATGACATGGCCTCTGTTTAAAGAAAGGCGGGATTTAATCTTAAAGACAACCTCATCAAAGCAGCTGATACAGGATCTGTGTAGAATTATTCTTTTAGAGAATTACTTGCACTAGCTGGCATTATTTTCTCCAAATGAAAGACAAACTTTTGGGTTTGGTAGTTACGGACTACTTTCAAGTTACTTTTCCTTTTATTTCAGTTTAAAACAGGCAGATGTTCCACATTAAAGTTCAAAGAATTCCTGTCTGAGTCTAAAGAGAAGCTTATGGTGATTTTTTGTTACCAAATGCTGTAGATTTCCACACCCTGACATTCTAGAAAAGGATGATCTGTTTGGCATTACTAAACTCTTTTGAAAATAAAGCCAAAGGATTTCTCTCATTGCTGTTTAAGAAATTAAATCCCTATCATGCAAACCTGGTACCAAACAAGAATTTCCACCTGGGGAAGGTTTTAAACAAAGATACTTTGTTAAGCGTTTTCTACAGCTGTCACTCTCTCAGTATTGTAATGCAGGGTGTGGATGCAGCCTGAACTTAAACCCGGAGTTTCCCAGTTCTGCTGATCCCTACTCGGATATAGGGCATCCGCAGCTTTAGCAGGTCACCTGGCCTCTTCCCTTTCACTACCTGCAAACAGCGATTATCCTTTTCATACAGGGATTGCAAAGCCTCGGCTTGCCTCTCAGCCTGCAAAATGCCTGTGGAAACAGCATCACTGTAATCACCCGGTGTATCGGCGAGCTCGAACTTACAGGTGTCCTTCTGCCAGACCGGGCACCGCAGACGGCGAGGCAGGCAGGCGACGGCAGGCCGCGGGGCAGGGTGCCTTCCCGCGGCAGTCGAGGCCCTGCTGCCGCTGCGGGGACAGGCCCTAGCAGCTCTGGGTGCGTGCCACACGTGGTGTCTCAGCAAACACCCCCTCATAGCCCACCATGCGCACCCCCATTGCGAGGAAACCTCCCCCGCACCGCCAGGCAGCGCGGCGCGGCGCGGCGCGG